CGAGAGGGTGGTCAGGCATTGGAACAGGCTGCCCAGGGAAGTGGTTGAGTTCCCATCCCTGGAGGTATTTAAAAGATGGGTAGATGTGGTGCTTAGGGACATGGTTTAGTGGTGGACTTGGCAGTGCTAGGTTAATGGTTGGACTTGATGATCTTAAAGGTCTCTTCCAACCTAAACAATTCTATGATTCTATGACTCATTGAAGCACTCATGAATAGTTAATAAAATTATTAAAGGTTGCAAAGCCCGTGTTTGGTCATATCGAGGACCTTATCTTCAACTGCAGCTCTCATTGTCACAACTTAACCCTGTGTGTCAAGTAGGTGAAACAAGGGCTAGGTGCCACCGCAAGTCAAAATGAGCAGAGATTGTACTGCATTTATGCCCGAGCCTATTTTGCTTGGGCATAAACAGACACAAGGATCAAAGCTGTGGAAATCAAACTGGTAACAGAGAGCCACCTTGCAGAATACAGAACTTTCTCATTTATCAGTTTATCAATACTGCTTCCTCTTGACTGAACAGTGACTACAAATGAGCACTATAGTCAATCTCAGTAAATGCTTCTGAAAGAAAAAACAGCCAAACTGAAGCCCTGAGTAAAAACACAGGTTTAACAGAGGTTTTGAACCTTCCCCTCAGCAGAATGCCTCATTTCCCACAGAGTCCCATTCTTTTCCCTTGAGCGCCTTCCCCTGCTCTAACACCCTGCAGCTGAGCTTCAGTGCTGATGCTTTGTAACATTTCCAAAGCTAAAAAAGAGCTGAGAGCTCAGCAGAGCAACCCACATTGTGTCAGGACTCCTGGTCTATCACAGTTCAGTTTCCTTTACACTACACACTACCTAAATATACATAAAAACATCTACACTTTCACTTCATTCTGCACATTTGGTTTTGGAGGGTGTTTAACCCCCATGTTATCAGTTTTGTATGTTGGTATTATTATGTATGTAAAAACAGCATTCCGGCTAGTCATCAAGACGACTAGTCAAATGCCAGGAATCTACTCTGATACGGTATCTGACATCAGCATATATTTACATACTCCCTTTTCCTAATACCTGGAGTGCATTAGCAGCTACAGCTTTCAGGGCAGAACCAGTTGCAGACTCACATCACCACGGTGCATAGAAAAGGGTAGCTGCTTTCCAAAATGTGCAGATAAAGTGCTGACATGGGCTGTGAGACTAACACACGGGCCCACATACAGGAAAAATTTCTTCTTGAAGTAAAACTGCTTTTATAGAAAGTGTTCAGAGTTTGATGGAGCCTAAAATAATTGTTTGCAATATTCTGATATGTGTTGCTTGAGAAACTCATTCTCTCCCGTGGAATCACAGAAACTAGATGCAGTAATTCACTGCATGTGTACCTGTTTTGTCAATTATCTGGCACATAGCATGGACAAAAATCTAGTAGTATGTGCGCTTCTGGTTCAAAGCACAAGTTTTAATTGCTCCCCACGCTCATTACAAGCCTCCCTTTCCAACATTATTCACAAAAGGATTTTGGACGTATACCAGAAACCTGTAATTATATATTTCTGCTTACGATTGCATCAGCTACATTGCCAGAGGTCATGTAGTTCCCAAGTTCTTTCCAAAGTGGCAAGCAAACCCCTGCTAAAACCTTCCACTCCTGAAAGAAACAATTAATTTCTGGCACCAGCTGTGGGCTCCCACCTGAGTAACAGGATGGATTCCTGGTCCACGCTCTGACTTTCAGAGGGTTTCTCTGTCCTCCAGCCAACAGAAGAAGCCAAATGAGTTCTTCAAGCTTCACACACAACAGGGGATGTTAACTGTGTTAGAGAAGTTTCAAGGGCTGCTGACCTAAAACTCTGAGGCTTTCGAAGAAAATTCTCAAGCAGGCCACTGTGTAACAATCCAGCTGTCCCTGGCTGTGTGAAAGGGATATGCAAACCAAGTTAAGTCTGTTCATCTTCAGTTTGCTAAGGGTTAAATGAGCCATACACTGAAGCATCGGTTGGAGGGGAAGGAAGAAGCACAGAAAACATTTCCTTCCACAGTCCTGAATGAAATGCCTGCAATTTGGTAATAGATGTGTTGTATTAATTTTGAGGCTAAGTGGGATGAGAGAGCTCAAGGTGTTAAATTTGACCTTTCCCCTACAAATTATTAAACAGTCACTCACAGTTCAAGACTTCAAGTCAAGAGACCTCAGCCTGCTTAGACCTCAGGCAAAAAAAAAATCAAAATTAAAATCTTTTGTTAATAATAATGGAAGACGAGAATGAGATAAGAATGCAAACATTCTATACTAAATGAGGATTTCATCTTAACATCCCTTCTTCTCTCGTCTTCATGTTGAAACACATTTTTGAAAGGAAAACTTCCTGCTTGCTGGACATTTAAGTCTGATGTTCCAGACAGCAAATGCCTGCCCTCCTGGGGGCAAAGAGGAAGTTTGCTGTGATCATCTTTAGCAGTTGTGAACATTTGCTGGAGCCCAGCCATGTGTTCTTGAAGGAAAAACGGCACAAGTACAGGTCACGGGGCCCGCTGTATTTCTACAAAGGACAGCAAATATTGTAAATGCAGCTTGTCTTTCTGACCCCATCAATAGAGGGTCTTACCTGTGGTCCCAAGACCTGGCAAATTTTTTCAGCCTCTGATTGGTTATCGCCTTTCTGATCAGAACTCGTAGCTGTGCTGCAAAAGATACTGTTTTGGCTGAGAAGCACAGATTCTTCTAATAATGAGCATAAAGTAAGATATATGGGTGAGAAGAAAAAAAGTAGAAAGCTAAAAAAAAAAAAAAGCAGGATGTAGAGAAGTCAAGAGTTTCTCCAGTTATAACCAATGATGATGAAGGCAGTTATGATGTTACTGCAGATACCCTCTCAGTCCCTTTGGTCAGGGTATCTCTCAGGATCAAAATGGTACCAGAACTCTATCAGAGGATGGGAATTAGAGCTGTGATTGTCAATTCACTGCTTCTCCCTCACAGCAGTGCCAAACTATGAGCCCCAAAAGGTAAAGTAGCTCATCTTCCATTTTTATTTTTCTTTTCTTTTTTTTTTTTTTTTTTTAAGAATAAAACCCCAAACTTTTCTTCCTCACTCAGTCCCCTTTTGTGGCATGGCCATTTTTGTTCATCTGTGCTGGATGTTCACAGAGTCCTGTATCTGGGTCCTATCCTTCTAAGCTTCACTGAATCTGAGAAAACACTACCCAGGAACCATCTCAAGTTCTGGACTTCCAGACGTCTTCTCAGAATGCGTAATTTTCTTTCTTGCAAACTAATTTCAGCAAAAGAGGTGCTGTGACTAAGCTGCCTAAGCCTTGTGATTAATGCAGCTCTGCAAATTGTCCAGCAACTCAAGCACTCTTCCATATGACTATACCAACTGCTCCAGATTTTATTCTGCTGAGAAAAATTATCTACAGTATTTCAAGCTGTATTTCTAAATCCACATTCAAACTCTTTTGTGATTTGCTATCTCTGTATCAACCTCAAGAGACTTCCAGTAAGGTGAGTCGAACTTTGCCTACAGTTAGGAGGCAGCATAGGCAACTATGTAGAAACAAGGTTCTGTTACAAAAAGTTAAATATATTGACAACCAATAGAAATCATAAATTATTTATTGCGTCACCAAGAAAAAACAGAAGAAACTCCATTAGAAAGATTCTTAATAATCTGTTTCCCCACACCTCTTTCCATCAGCCATTGGCAGGTTAACGCTAATAGCCGCCCTCAGGTTAGCCCAGAAAAGGGCATGCTTGCTCCTCTCCTTCGGCCACTCCAGGTAGGTTCGCTTTGCCATGAGAGCCTTCAGCTTGTGATACCTCGCAGGGATAATACACGGAGTGATCGGCTCCAGTAAAATGAGGATTAAGCTGTTGGAATTCTCACTGAATAATTTGTGATGGGCAAAGTACAGCTCATAGTGACACCACTCGCTCTGCACAAAGTTGGGAGACAACACAAAGATCGACTTGTAGCTCTTCTCAATGCAGTTAATGATGTTCTCCACAATGCTCTTGCCGGGGATAAAGTTTCTCTCGTGCTGGCACAGTTGGACGCAGCCCTCCCCCTTCTCCAAGTTCGGGATCAGCTCGTTCTTCACCCACAACGAATCGCGCTCGCTGTAGGAAATGAACGCATGAAACTGCAGAACGGTCTCCCGCTCTTCGGGATGGTTGTGCCAAGCTCTCCGCTTCGTCTGCGTCCACTGCCACGTCATCCGCACGTACCACGGCACATCCAGGTAGATGCACAGAAAGGCCACCACAGCCACCAGCACCAGCGTCAGCAGCAGAGCTGTCACAAGCAAGAGCGTCATGTTGCAAGACAGTTCAGTCAGGTGGAAGTCCTTCAGCTGCGTTCCTCGCAAGTCTTCCGGGTACTCGCACAGATATGCCGCTGGCCAGCCAAACAGCTTTCCCCCAGATTGCCTCTTCAGACGGATAAAGCCTTGCAGTTCACAGGAACACTTGAACGGGTTGTGCCCTGCTTGTAGCTCCCTGACCCTTGGGCAGCTCTGGAAGAAGTCGGCAGATGGGGTGAGGATCGAATTCATCTCTATGTTCAGGAACTCCAGGGACACAAAGCCACTGCACCCCGGCAGGTCAGCCAGCCTGTTTGATGCCAGGTTCAGCTCCTTCACGGATTTCAGCTCAGCCATCCCCTTGGCAACGCTGGTGATCTGATTGTTGTGTAGGTCAAGTTTTTTGATGTTGACTGGCAAGCACTCAAACACGGAATCCGTCAACTGATTTGAGGACAGGTCCAACTCTGTCAGAGACTCAGCCCACTGGCACTGCACATCAGCTGCATCGTGACTCAGCAAGTTGTTGCTCATGTCCAAATATTTCAGCGATTTCATATGGATGGTCATGAGGCTTACTTTGGAAAGGCTCTGAAATTTATTCTTCCGCAAGATTAATGTCTCCAGTTGAATTAATTTGTCACATTTTTTAAAAAGAAGATCTGTTAAATCGTTCTTTAAAAAATTTAAGTATCTAAAGGCACTGTCAGACGAAGGACACAGCATATGTATCAGGTCTGATTCAGCTATTGTTAAGGCTGCAATATTCATGTCTGCAAATACTTTGTATAGGTCATCCTGTGAGAAGTACAGATCTGTGATTGTAACGTTGTTAATTGTCAGTGCTTTCATAGAGGTACCTGAATAGTCAAAGACACAGCTTTCGATGTCGGACAATTGTGTTACACTGTTAATATTGAAGTATTCAATGGATGAGTGCCATACAGTCTGAAAAATATCAATAAGAGCATTCCAGTCCACTGACACATTTGTCAGTGTCAGATTTTGTAACCTGGAGCCTTGTCTGAAATTAGATAATAGAGCTACTAATTTTTTTACATTGCCATTTGTGATTTCTGACAATGACAAGCTTTCTGTAGTATTTTGTATCACAACCCAGTCAACATTAGCTTTGGGCTGATGACTATTTGTATACAAGAGTGGCAGGCTCTTGATTTTGTTGTCAGAACCATCTTCTGGCAAATCATTAGAAGCAGATGTAAAGAGTTCATTTTCCACAGACAAGCTGATATGGCTCCAAAAAGTTAATGCAAACAGACACTTGTAAAGAAAAAAGTTTCTGAGAGATCTCATATTTTCTGTCATATTGGTTTCTGGTTCCTTGGAGATGCTCAATACTTTTCTTATCTGTCCATCTTTGTTCTAATCCTGTAGCAAAACAAACAAATAAAAAGAAAAACCAGATTGTATCATTAAGTGGCTATGCAGGAGCCATCACAGAGATTGTTTTTTTTAAGGTTCTAATTTCTCATCTCTCCCTTTGACTCAAAAAACAATGACAGCACCTATTATCATTCAGGAGAGGCATCCTTTATTAAGAGAAGACCACTGAAATTTTGAAATTTCTATTTGGTAAATAAGCTGTATTTTATATATAATGAGTCTGTTTCTTACAAAACACGTCTGATTTCAGAGGTGACTAAAATTTACTGCTTACCTACAGAATTATTGCTGTGATGCAATGCATTATGAAGGCTTCCCACAACTGTATTATACACTTTGATCAGGAAGTACAATATTTGAGGTCAGTATGGTCATCCTCTTGTCCGACTCTCTCTTGAAGGATATGAACTAGACTCAAGAGACTTTTTTTTAAACGCACTTGTGACTATAAAACCTGGACTGAAACATGATTTCTAGTGACTCTACAATGAGACAGTAACAGCTGTGACTTGTTGGACTAAAGCTACAACAACCTTGAGAACTACGTCCTCTGTACCACTAACCAATCCACAAGCTTTCTTAGAATTACATTACTGGGTCTAAAATGTACATTCTCCTTGATCTAACACAACCTCTATTACAAAATCTCAACAGCACAACAAAAAACAGACAGTCCACCGAGTTCTTCTTTCGTAAAGAATGCACGAAGCTAGGCTTGGAAATCATCTAGAAATAGTGGGGCAATATGGCAAACCTTTTCCAGCTTTTTTCCAGATTTTCATTTGGAAAAATTACATTTGGTTTTACCATCATAGCCCTCAAAAGGCATTTGGGCATATGCAGAGAACAAAAGATAATCAGCATCCACTATCCTGTTATCCCGATTGTTTGGGCAACACTACTAATGTGTATATAATCAAACAAAATATGTAGCTTCAAAAGAAATCTGAAAAAAAAAATCTACCTTCAAATCATTATTTCTTCTTATGACAAAATTTCAGCAATATCCAGGGACTAGGTGAAAGAAGGATACAATTCTTCCACATGTGCTTGATTTTCTTTCTCATTCCTATATCCTGGCATTCAGTCAAATTCTTTATGAGTACCTTCAAACTTTCTTTAGAATATTCTATGAAGCAACAAAATTAACGACTGTTATAACACATGACCTGTGATTTGGGGGCTAACACTGAAGAAATTATCCTTTATAGTCATATCCCTTTCAATTCAGAAGTATCCTCAAGTCTTCAAACTGGACAAAAAGCATTATCAAGATATAAGCAGAGAAGCAATCCAGGAGCGTAAGCAAACCAAGATCATAGTGAGAAATTATCCTGTTGTTTAAAGAGCGAGAGAAGAGATCAAAATCGAGGTTTTAAGAGTTTTTCCAATATAAACTCAGTATAAACTGACTAAAGTTTCATACCAGAAATGTACAGAGTGCATTGAGCTATGATGGTTCAGTAGTAAGGCATGCGCTTTGCAAGTTATCGGCATAATACAAAATTCAAATGTTAAAAATATGTCTTTCACACGGATGAAACATATAATCAAGTTACACCCATTCCTGAACTGTAAAAAACTATTTCCATTAAATCACTGTGGCCCCCTCAACTATGGGTGTAGTGCTAATACAAAGACACTGCTATTTGGCCAGTTTCTTCAGATAAATTTACTAAACATAAGCAACTTTACTCTCATTTCTTACCCATACACTTGAAAGTACATCAGACACTCGCTAATAACCCTCTATGGAAAACATGGTTCACTTTTAAATAAGATGCAGAATACAAAACAGTTTTAGCTAACTAGCAACTGCATAAAATTAGTAAAATGAAAAGTTTCTCACCAGAAATCCCTGGTCTCTGAAAAAGCTGTAAATGTACTCAGGAAAAGAAAACTTCCTGTAACTCTGCCCTACTGTGTAACAATACTTAGGAACGCCCAAACTTTTTATATAAATGTTTGTGCCATCTACTGACAGCTTATGAAATGACATTTGCTTTCCTTCAGATGTATTTTCCACATACAACATTACTGTAATTTCCCCATTATTTAATTATTATTGAACTATGTGTTTTCATGCTTTGCAATAGATTAAGCAGGGGAAAAATCAATCTTTTTACCAACTTTCTGTCTTCATCAAATTAATATGAAAATAAGTACTTCTTTTGAGCAAGTTTTACACTGAAATTCAAACATCTTCCTCTCTGAACTTAATAATGATCTAAGTCTATATGCATTATTCGGATTTTTTTTTCATTTACCTATACCAATTTAGTTGTCAAGTTCTTATCAAGCTGGTTTATAAAAGTACTGTTTGTCTTATTGTAATTGCCATTTAATGGGAATGGAAAAATAATATCTCTCTCCTGCTCCAGCAGTGTTGTGATTAGGTTAAATAGAGGACATGGAAACAGTGGGTGGGATCTTTTTTTTTTTTTTTTTAAATTAAAACAGAGCAGAGACTTCAGTACTGAATGCCCAGACACTTGGGTTATTGTCCTGGCAAAGACATAAAACAGTCTCTCTTTATTTCTGTATAATGTTGGTCAGAAATTCCATCTTAGCCGAGATCTAAATACAGAGCTGCCACACTACAACTTACCTTTCTGGGTTAGCATACTGTAAAGTATTCATGATTTAACATTTCAGTGATGCAGGAAGCAGAGGAAATAATCTTAAAAAATGCTTTTTCACTTCAAAGCTTATTCTGTACATCATATTGCATCTCTCAGCTTCAAGTGAAAAGAGGTCATCCAAAAAAGGAAGGGAAAGATAGGACAAGTAGTAAGTGACAGAATATGGACAATTCGTATTCTCCGCTGTTATGCCAATGAGCCTTATGGTGGTACTCTTCGATTCTTTCTCCATTTCTGTGAATACAGACATGAGCATTCACATCTGGTTTCCAAACGACACCTTATAGTGTTGTTACATAAAAACCTTACCACTGTCTGCCCTTAGCTAGAAAGATTTTGCTATCCATCCTTAGGATGAGATAAAATCCTAAGGCAAGACCTTGCTTCTACCAAACATTCACTCCTGTTCTGGAATATAACAGTTTAACTGCCTGAATATAACCTACCTATTACTCTGATGAATACAGAACCAGACGTACATTTGGTTAACATGTAATAACTGCCATAATTTAGAGACCCTTACTCGAGAGTATCTCTTCAATTAAGCGACAGTATGAGCTGGCCACTGGCATAGTTTGAGTTCTCCAGTTCCGCCTATATACTACAAAGACAGATAAAGCATATGTTAACAGCAAAATAAGCATATTACCATTCATTGCATGCCACTAGCCCTCACATTTACGACTCAGATTTACCAGTGCAGTCACTGGAAGAAGACTAATATATTCCTCAAATGTTATCCATATACTTCTGTGTTTTGTTATACGTAGCCAAATGTAGTTGTTTCCTTCCATTTTTCTTTATCTATTTACTAAAAGGCAAGTATCTTTTCTGAAACCCATTAGGAAGGTGATGACACTCAACTTAGAGTAATAACAAACTTCAGTGAAATCTGAGATGAGAAGTGTTCAATCTCTATTGCTCATTTATTCCACAATGATTTGCAGTATTACCATAGTGAGAAAATACAAGTGAAATTAATTACTGAAAAGTGAAAGAGAAAGAAAATTAGAAAATGCAAGTCCTAAACTCAAGAAAGTAATTTAGGAACTTAGGAAACTAATACATCCTTCTATCCCAAGAGACAGACATATACATTTACGCATTTAGAATGTTAATTTCACCCTGAATTAATAACTTTGTATTACAATAGTGATTAATACTGTCTTGCAGTTCTAAAACATGCATAGCCTTGTAGAGAATCTGCAAAACTGACAGTGTAAGATCAACTTTAAAGTCAAAATTACCATCCATCATGCGGAAAATCAATCTCCAGCTATTGAGCTTCCTCCCAAGGCAGTGCCCTTACTCTTCCACAAGCTCCACTGAAAAGCAGAGGGAAATCCTTAGGGACACTCTAGATTTCATTCCCAGTAAATACATCTAAACATTAATAAATGAACCTAAAAGATGCTCGAACTACCAGCATACCCTGATACTTAAATTCTCATTGAAACGCCTTCAAAATAGACTTATTTAGTGATACAAACATCTGTTCTGCTACCACCTACCTTAATGGGAAGCTTCAGAGACTTTTGCCTGGTAAGCATGTAAGTCACGTAGCGTGATCCATATTTGTGAAGCGCGGTTGAGAACTGGGGCTTTACTTTGTGACCTCCTGTAGCAGCTCTCCTCAGTGATTCACATGCATTATTTTGCTTCCTGTGGCAACAGCAAGTATTTCTTTCTTCGGCAAAGGAAGACTAGTGATAGAAAGGATGCTATGATCAATTGTGGAACTGCCTTTTACCACAGTAAAAGGGCACACTTCGCCTTAAAATGAAGTGGCAAAAAGAGGAAAGGGTAACGAGGAATTAGCGGCAGGAACCACAGGTTGTTGGGCAAGAGCCTGCAATCCCCTTGGTCGAGTATTTCTGGCGTGGCTGCGGGCACCCAGTGCTGACACCAACTTACTGGAAATGTCTGCACGCACCTCCCAGTTTCTTTTATGGGCATTTCCTGTAAACACATATATAACGAAGGTGCAAAGTGCCATCTGAAAAGCTAAATCTCAGTTATTTGATTCCGCAGCCACACACTTCAGTGGGTGGTTAGCGGCAGCTCGCTTTGAGGAACGATTAAACTTCCTACAAAAAAAAAAAAACCAAACGATGCCAGCTCAGTGACTAGACTCATTTATACTTAAAATGCCTCAGCATGAACGTTACTACATCAGCGTTGTCAAATCCACCCCTTTTGCCGCCTCAGCTAGGACGCGGGAGCCGGCCGACCGCCCCGCAAGCAGCCCGCTCCACCCGCGTCGCCCTC